TTTCTGCTGTCTCCTCTGTTCATTTAGCCTTTCTATCTCTTTCTCTCTCTTTTTTTTTTTTTTTTTTTTTGAGGGGGTTCTTTGAACATTTTTATTATTTTCTTTGATTATTATCCTAGTTTGTTGTATTGTTAATTGTTCCTTTAAGGCTTTCAGTATGCATGCTAACTATCATTGTGTACCTTCAAATGATATGACACCATTTCAGATATAATACAAAGAGAAGAATCTCACAGTGGTATACTTCCAATTCTCTGCTTCTTGTTTTTGTGCTATTTTCATGGTTTTTAGTTTTACCTATTTTATAAAATTCACTTTAAATTTGTTATTATTTTTCTTTAAACCCTCAATTATCTTTTAAAGACACAAAACTATACAAAATATCATCTATATTTACCTATTCCATTATCATTTCTGGTGTTTTTCATCCCTTTTGTAGATTTGTAGTTCCATTTTTTATCATTTTCTACCTGAAAGATGTCCTTCCATATTAATTTTAATGTGGTTCCAATGGTGGTTTATTCTTTCTGTTGTACATCTGGAAAGGTACTCATTTAATTTTTGTTTTTTAAAAGACATATTTATTTATTTATTTATTATTTTTTTCTAATTAGATATACCTGACAGTTGAATGCATACTGAACACACCACACATAGATAAACTATAACTTCTTATTCTTCTTGTTGTACATGACATAGGATCACACTGGTCATATACATAGGGTATTAAAGTCCAATTAATTCTACTATCCTTCCTACTCCCATACCCCCTCCCCTCACTTTACTCCCCTCTGCCTAATCCAAAGTACCTCTATTTTTCCCTAGCCCCTCCCACCTTATTGTGAATTAGCATCCTCATATCAGAGAAAACATTTGACCTTTGGATTTGGGGAATTGGCTTAATTTATCTAGCATGATGTTCTCCAGTTCCATCTGTTTACCTGCAAATGCCACAATTTCATTCTTCTTTAAGGTGGAGTAATATTCCATTGTGAATAGATAGCACAATATCTTTATCCATTTATCTGTTGAAGGGCACATAGGTTAGTTCAATAGTTTAGCTATTCTGAATTGAGCTGCTATGTGGCTATGTCACTGTAGTATGCTGATTTTAAGTCCTTTGTGTATAAACCAAGGAGTGGGATACATGGGTCAAATGGTGGTTCCATTACAAGTTTTCTGAGGAATCTCCATACTGCTTTCCAGATTGGTTGCACCAATTTGCAGTTCCACCACCAATGTGGATCCTCACCAACATTTATTGTTGCTTGTATTCTTGATAATAGACATTCTGACTGGAGTGGGATGAAATCTTAGAGTAATTTTTATTTGCATTTCTCTAATTGCTAGAGATGTAAAAATTTTTTTCATATGTTTGATTGATTGTATATCTCCTTCTGAGAAGTATCTGTTCAGTTCCTTAGCTCATTTGTTGATTGGGTTATTTATTTATTTATTTATTTGGTGTTGAGTCTTTTGAGTTCTTTATATATCCTGGAGATGAGTGCTCTATCTCAGGTACATGTAATAAAGATTTTCTCCCATTCTGTAGGCTCTCTGTTAATGTTATTGTTTTCTATGCTGAGAAGAAGCTTTATTAGTTTGAGTCCATCCCATTTATTGATTGTTGATTTTATTTTTTGCACTGTAGGGGTCTTTTTAAGGAAGTCAGTTTCTAAACTGACATGGTAACGATTTGGGCCTGATTTTTCTTCTATTAGACACAGGGTCTTTGACCTAGTGACTAGGTCTTTGATCCACTTTGAGTTGAGTCTCATGAGCATCAAAGAAAGGGGTTTAAAAAGCATTTTCAAGGAGCATAAAATTTTAAGTTGGCAGTGTCTTTCTCTCAGAACTTTAAAGATGTGCTCCCATGTCTCTTTGCTTCCATTAATTCTGGTGAGAAATCTTGTGATCTTTTTTTTGACTCCTCTCTATGTGATGTGTCTCTTTTTCTCTAGCTCCTTTTAAGCATTACACCAGCTCACTGGTTTGGGGAAGTTTGATTAGATGATTCTAAGTGTGCTCCATGTGTCTCTTCCTCCTTGGACCAGTGATTATCCATGGCTGCACATTTCAAAGTGAATAGCAGGAAAACAAAACAACACAAAAATGCAAATTGACCATGCAAGCACATTTCATTACTTTGCTTACACTATATTGAGTAATACCCAATGGCCAAAGTATGACACATGGTCAGCCCTACGTTAAAGCACAGGGAAATAAAATCCATCTATAATGAGCAACTTCCAGTCATAAGGTTCATGCTCACATTGTATATGCATGTCAGAAGAGGTCCAGTGCTATACAGATAAACTTAGATGTCCCTGTGAGAAGAAGCCTTATGAAACACAGCATAGAAGATTAGTTTAACTTCTAATACATTCCCGTTGGATGGCTTTCCCCCATTGTGGTTTCCATAGCTAATTCCCTTCATAGAAGCACATTCCAGGTCACTTCTTCCAGTCTCTTTTTGGCAAAAAGAGTACTAAAGATCAAGTTCACCAAGAACTTAGAATGTTGGGACCAGGACCACACTAGATTAGACTGTAACGATGAGGTAGGTGAAATGCCTGGGAAAGGATTAGTTTCTCTTGCTGTGTTAAGGGATATTACATCTCACTATGTTTCAAGACACAATGATGAAGTTGTAGTACTTCTTTGCCCCTTTAAATCGTAATATTTTGTAAACAGGCAATCCCTTTTTGTCCTTTTTTGAGCTCTATGAAAATATTTTTGATATATATGTCTTAAAAGATAATTCTCATAATTAAGTGGTAAAACTAGTAGAAATTGAGCTTTAAGAAAACAGATGCACATTTTGAAGGCAGTCAAAGAAATACTATGAATATTTGATGACAGTAATTATACAGAGCTATGGATTAACAGTCATTATGTTGTTATAGAGCTATGTTGTTAATAGTCATTAATAATATTAGCATTCATCTAAGTATCCTCTCTATATTATGTACAGTGCATTTATTGTCTATTACTCATGGTAATTCTACTAGGTATTGTTACCACTTTTTTATGCATGAAGAAAACAAGTCTCAAAGAAGCTCAGGGAGATGCACATAGCAAGTTGCAAAATTGAGGTGTAACTACAGATTATCTCAACCACAGTCTGAGCATAGCCCACTTTAGTGCAACCCTCTTTTCATACATGATCTCTGAATTTTCATTCATGCTTCCTTAAGTATATTTTTTAGGCTCATGAGGGAATAAAGGACATATTTGTGTGTCATAAATTTGTATGGTGAACTTGCAGATCCTTGGGGTCCCTGTTTGAGAGATGTGAGATCAGCAGTGGCCCAGAAGGCACTGGAATCATTGACGACTTGATGTGGTCCTGCACTGCAGCATAGGAATAGAGCAATAAATAGCCTTGTTCAACCTGTTCTGGTTCCTGCAAGTGGGGACTGATATCATTTCCCACTTGATTTTGTGTAGGGATTATATTAGACAATGCAGAAAAAATGCAGTTTGGAGTATATGGTAAAGTCACCATTTTAAAGGCAATAATATTGACATCACTAGAATGCACCAAAGTTCATTGACATGGGTGATGTTCAGATACATCAAGTTCTTAGAGCAATGTCTTGAACATTCTTAAGTGTAAGTTAAAATATATAATTTTAATACAAATACAAAAATTGGTGAAAACCAAAAGTAATGCATATTTTGAATACAGGGCAATAGAATTGGCTTTGTGATTATAATTATTAAAGAAAGAAAGGTTCTCAGAGAACATTGTCCTTATGAAACTTTAAAAAGTATATGATGAGCAATCATGCTGTAAAATGGAAAAGGCTAATAAGGCTAATAAGCTGATATATAAGCAGAGCTTTCCTTTCACAGTGAGTGTGGATATGCTAAACAAACTATCATTCATTGCACCTTCCCCCCAGCTTTTCATCCATTTTTAAGTTTTGAAAAGTTAATGCTCATGACCAATAATAATGGAAATAACTCCTATGCTTTAAATATCTTGCACCAAACGTTTCTATTTTCATGTAATAATTTACCCATTGGTATGACCTTTTAATTTCAAGATGACAAAATGTTCAAAAATGAAACTTATCAAATATGAAAAACATTTAATTTGAATTTGTGTGAAACTCACTGCAATTCTCTTCATTGTTGCATAGTTCTTGGGTATTATGGCTCGGTTCTACCCTGTACTGTGTGACTTGAGCCTGGGTTAGACAAACTTCACAAGCCCTTGTCTTTTGCCTATGTGATGATACCACAAGTAAATGAACAAGTGTTAGTGCTTAATATTTTAGGTTTTTGTTACTATCATAGCAGGACTTTCATCCTGTGTCTTATTTGGCTTAGCTCTTTTCTAATCAATAGTGTTGTGGGGGATCATCTTGCAGAGAATGTTAGGGGGCATGGCTCTCTCCCAGAGAGTTCTCTTTCTTTTCTCACTTTCCCTCTCACGTACAAACAGTGGAAACAATAATATGCATGAAGAATGGATCATATGAAAACTAAATTAAGGGATAGGGCAACCTGAGGGGATGGGGCAGGTGAGATAGGGTCAGCAGTACACATTGGTCTCTTTCCTTGGCTTCACCTAGGAGCATCACAACAGTGGGACACTATAAAATGGTATAAGTCTTGACCTATTTTATGTCTTTCTTCATCTTTAACTGTTTGACCTGAGTTCTCTGAGCTAACAGTGAAGGAGATCCCTGCATCTGAGAAGCATTAGGATACCTCTCAAAGACCTTATTTATTGACTGATTGGACTTTAACTGGACAAAGAACAGGAACTGGAGCCTGAAACGTGTCCTATTGTGATATAGATTAGTCAGGGAGGAGCTAGTTATTTCTCACCACATGAGTGAATTTAAAAGTGTGTGGATGAGCCACAAAATGGTAAACTATCAGTATGTTTGGGGGAGATGAATAATTATCTTAGAGGGTATCTCTATGAGATATATCATGAAGTTGAATCAGGTTAAGCTGATGCATTATTTGCTTGGTTTTAACAGAATGAAGTCCCTGAGGTGAAGAAAGAGGAGACTTTACTGGATTTGGACTTTGACCCTTTCAAGCCTGAGGTGGTATCTGCGGGTTCTGCTGGAGTGACCCATTCACCCATGTCTCAGGTATCAAGTGATTTATAGATGTTTGAGGATGATATTTCATAAACCTTCAGAAGCTCAATAAAAACCAATGACAGCTGTCTTTTTCAAATTGACTATTACCTTTGATCAGTGTTTTAGTCAGCTTTTTTGCTGCTACAACTAAAAGATTTGACCAGAACAATTTTAGGAGAGGAAAAGTTTATTTAGGGGCTCATGATTTCAGAGGTATCAATCCATAGACAGCAGAATCCATTCTTCAGAGCGCAAGGTGAGGTTGAACATCATGGAGGAAGAGTATAGCAGAGGGAAGTGGCTCAGATGATGATCAGGAAGCAGAGAGAGACTCCACTCTCCAGATACAAAATATTTACCTCATAACCACATCCCCAGTGAACCACTAACTCCAGCCACACCCCACATGCCTCCAGTTACCACTTAGTTAACCCATTAGGGATTAATTCACTGATTAGTTTAAAGATATAACCCAACCATTAATCCTCCAAACCTTCTTGCATTGTCTTACATGTGAGCTTTTCCTGATAGGAAGGGTGGGTATAAAGAGGATCTTATCAATATTAATTATTCTATTTATTTATTTGTTTGGTACTATTGATTGAGCCCAGGGCCTTGCACAAGCTAGGTAAGTGCTATACCACTGAGCTATATCCTTGGCCCTCAACATCAATTATTCTCCCTACCTCCCCCTACCATTAGTTTTCTCTTCCCACAGGGCTAGCATAACCATACATTCCTGTTTGCCCAGGAATTGTTTCTCATAGAGTAATCAACATTTGCTCTCAAAAGTGTCCAGGCTTCCATGATAATGTTGGTTTAGTTCCCTCAATAAAACTCTCATTTTGGCTTTGGGTTTATTATTCTTCTTCCTTTTTTTCTCTAGTTTATTCCTTGCATTTTGCAAGTTAAGGCATATTTGAAATAACCATGAGATTATGACCCAATAGAAAAGTTTTACAGTCTTGAGAGTCTGGACTTAATAGTGTTGTGCTCATCTTTCACCTTGCAGAAATCCCCTTTTGTAATCCTGATTACAGTTTGATTTTGAACTGGCCTTCCTTATCCAAATGTATTCTTGCTCATCATTTCTTTGCTCTCGATTCGATTCCAATAGTTATTGTAAAAAAGATTCTCTGTCAGAGATACTGATAGCAGGTGCTTTGATGGCCTGCATATGATTCCTCTGGAATATGGTTGGTTTACAATTGTCTATGTTAGTAGAATGAAATTGACTCAAAATTTGGTGTTTATTGTTTGTCTTTGATGCTGAGGATGAAACCTAGAGTCTCATGCATGTTCAACACATGCTATATCCCTGATCTGTGCTCCTAGCTCATATATCAATATTTCAGATATTATTGGGGCTTCACATTTGAATTTGGACAATTCCAAAGATGTTAGAATATACTATAAATTAATTAATAAAAGTTTGTTGTGAAATTAAGACTTAGCTCAATTTACTGAATGAAGCCTTATTGGTACTTTACAGTAAACCACTGGGGAACAAATTATTCAATATGGACCTAGATAAATAAGGCTTCTCTCTAATCCATGCTCTTTGTTCTAGAACATGATTGGGTATCTAAAGGCCTCCCTATTGTAAAATAATAACAGTAAAAGTCTAATATTATAATAGGTAGCCAATTAACTAGGCCAGACACTAACCTTAAATATGTCTTGCAAAATAATGGGTCTCTTGGATAAATATTTTGGAAAGCTGAACCTCTCATAGGAAATTATTAACAATATGCATTAGAATATGAAGGGCAGTTAGAAGTCATGCAACTATAAACACACACTCACAGAACTATTTGTTTAACTTAGTTTCCCTAATTTGGTTGATAGTAGAACTGCTTTAATCAAACTTTTCTTAACATTCATTGGAATGTTCTCTAAAATATATTTTGGGAAATGTTGGAGTAGTAGACTTTAACAAGTTTGAGGGTTCTACCTGGTGGTCAAGAAAAGTAGAAAATGTATGTCCAAGTAATCACATACACATCCTTCTCAAAGTTCTGGTGTTGTATGCAGATAGCAGAATTCTTGGGGCTTCCTCCACCTTACTTGCAAAATTCCTTATTTTCATGGAAGAAGCAAAAGTTTCTGCAGTGGATGCTATAAATAGTGGATGAGATTCCATAGTATTTCTATTAATTTAAATCAAGGGAAAAACATCTTTTATATCAACTTATAATTAACCCATAAATTATGCAGCTTTGTGAGAATTTAATACAGATTTTTTTTAAAGGATCTCACTATCTTGCCCATGCTGGCCTAGAACTCCTGAGCTCAAGGGATCCTCCTCCCTCAGCCTCCCAAGTTCTGGGACTACAGATGTACACTGCCATTCTCTGCTTAAAGGGTTCTCTCAGAATGAAACAAACAAAAATCCCCACTTTGATTATATGTTCAAAAGTCTTTGTTCTAAAGGAAACACTCTGTGGGCAGGGCGAACTCTGTGTGTATCCCTGGATTCTTTCCTTGGGGCCTGGTAGTAAATTTCTCTGGTCTCCAGGGGGCTGCAATTGAGTCATCTCACTGCAGAGTAGTCTTGTTGTCCAGCTCCAATCACATCTCTTCTCTTTCCCTAAAGAAGAAATGCTTAGGCTGAGTGACAGTAAGCACAAGACAGTTAGACTCTGCTGGCCTTCCTTCTACTTTACTCAACATTATCTTCTTTACCCATTGCTGACCTCTTGTTTTCAACTGATGTTCTTGCTGCTAGCAGAACACCTCATTTTGTGATCTCTGCAGTGTCCATGTGAGCTAACACATCCTTTCATGATCCTGAGGAGTGATAAGCATGGTGTTTCCTATAGCTGCTTTCCTTTGCAGAAAACACTGGTGCTGTCTGCAGTATGCAGAGATGTGTACTGGCTTACATGGTTTCTACTTCTTCAGGACCTGTGAAGCAAGGGAGCAGAAACCATCTGTACAATCAAAAATGCATATTAGATAAAACAGGAATCCATGTACAAAAAGAGTGTGCCTTTGAATGGAGCGATTCTACTCTGCTGTCTCTTTTTCTATGAGAAAGTTTTAAGCCGGAGAAAAATGAAGCTGCATAGAGATAGAGAACAGGCAGTTCAGTTCAGTTAAACTGAGCCCAGGCCAAGTGTGTTATGTGCATGGTATGGGGGAATCAGTTAGAAGCACAGGATCCACTCTCTATTGTACGGAATCCAAATGAAACATCTATAATCTCCTCTGGAAACCATGAGTTAAAGTGGGAGTGCCAGGCTTTCTAGATTTCTGTTCACATTTAGTGATCTCAAACAAGAAGGTGAACATGTTCTAGCCTCAAAAAACACAGATATGAAGGAATGTGGCTTCAGCAGTGATTCTCAATCACAAAGGAAATAAGAAAGATCTTCCCCAGTCTTCCCACCCACAGTGGAAGTCACTTAAACTATCTGGATTCAATCCTCAGGATCAATAGACTTTATAATTGAAATTTCACTAGTAGGTGTAATCTGCTCCTATGTCCTCATGGGCACCCTGGTAATTTACATGATTACCAATTATTTTAGCTGTGTGTTATCTAATTTAGAAAATTGAAGAACTACTTTTCTGGGATTTATTTGCCATCAAAATGATCATAATATATCCTATTGAATGTGATAGAGGAATAGCATGAGCAGTGATTAAGATCTCTATTTCTTTAATGTTGTGATAATTAGTCTCTAATATCTGGACACCTTGTTTATTTTAATGGTGTGAGTGTGTGTGTGTGTGTGTGTGTGTGTGTGTGTGTGTATGTGTGTATGTGTTAAAGTAACCCCATTCATCATATTTCACCTATAGTTTTCTACTTACATAGCAAAAGGCAAATTGTTTAGAATTTTGTTATCCAATATGGTATCTACTGGCCACATGTGATGAGTTAAACTTAAGTAAAATTATGTAAAATTTCAAACTTGTTTATGTACATCAGCATATTTCAAGTGCCCAAGAGTCACATGTGATAGTGGAAAACATATTGGATAGGAAAGATATGGAGCAGTTCCATTATAAAAGAAGTTCTGTGAACAGTGCTTTACCATATGCTTAAAAAAAAGTGTGCAATTTCAAGAACTTTGATCACCTTTCTGTATTTATCTTTACATCTGTATTTCTTCATATGCTTACAATTTATATACTAATAATATTTTTGTATGTTTCCTTTCAGACATTACCCTGGGACTTATGGACGGTAAGACCTTTAATAACTCAATGTATCTTTTTTTAATTTTTAATTAGTTTAATTAGACAGTAGAATGCATTTATACACTTTGATTTATCATACATAGATGGGATATAATGCCTCATTTTCCTGAGTGTACATATTGTAGAATCATAATGGTCATGCAGTCACATATACATAAAGTAATAATGTCTGTTTCATTCTACTGTCCTTCCTATCCCCACATCCCATCCCCTCTCCTCTCTTCACTTCCTTCTACCTAATTTAAGATAACGCTCTTCTTCTCTAGTGCCCTCTGCCTCATTGTGAATTAGCATCCACATATTAGAGAAAACATTCAGCCTTTGTTTTTTGGGGATTGGCTTATTTAACTTAGCATGATATTCTACAACTCCATCCATTTACTGGCAAATGCCATAATGATGTGTACAAATTTGGAAATCTTATTACATTTTATTTCACTTGTGATGGAAAGAAGATCCTTATATTATTGATAGCATATTACCCTAGAATAATCTTTAACTCTCAACAGTTCTGTGTATATCAGGAACATAGAGATCCTGGGAGAGAAAAGTGTTTCGGTGGTCCCAACTGCTGGATCACTAGGGGTCAAGAATGTGAAGTTGTATCCATTTGCTTCTCCTGTGGACCTTGCTGGCCAGAGGAGCTAGTGTAGTGAAAGGTGTGCATATATGTGGTTGCTTTTAAATAGAATATAGGTCAAATGTAGATGAAAAAATGCAAAGTGATAGGAAACATTTTTTTCATTGTTATATTTCATGAAGCTTGGTTAATAACATTTTAAGCTCTAGATCCATTCTGCTCTGGATTTGACTCTTAACTTTATACTTATAATCTTGTGACTTATAATCTTGTGACTCTGAGCAATTTCTAAAACTCTCCAAGCCTCTGGTTTTCTCATCTGTAAAATAAGGATAATGACACCAATCTGAGAGATTTGTGAGAGAATTAAATAATAATATATTTGTAGAGTGTTTAGCCCTTTGGGTGGTTTGTATTAAAAAAAAAATAGATATTATTCCTGATGGTGTTTATTCCATTAGTCTGATGTTCAAGGATGAGTATTCCCAGAATACTCAGTTGGGAAAGAGATTAGAACAGATTTTTGTGGTGCTACATTCGTACCATGAAATTAGGAGACCAGTGGCACCTGTATCAAGTCTGGAATCTCTTAGGGAAGGGCCTTTGTCATGGAAAAACTCTGGTTATGTGGTCTTAAGAACCCAACTTGATTTTCATGTTTCCTTTCTTTCTTTTTTTTTTTTCTTAGTGGGTCTGGTATTCTGAAATGACATTGTTACTTTTTCCCCTTCAAAGAATGATGGTCATTCTCTTCTTTTCTGGAACAGCAGGTTTATACTGCATTCTTTAGGATTCTTTGAGAATCAGGGAAAGCTCTCAAGACAAGAGCTAAAGCTATCAGTTGAAAGGGTGAAACAGCCTATGACTAAGTTATACTTTTTGTAGTGAGTTGGTATTACTTGTTTATTCACACACACACAAAAAAAATGATGGATGGGTTGACATTCAGGGTGTTTGAATTCTAGCCTCAACTCTATATTAATTTTCTTGGAATTAAGGGGACAATGCAGAGTCTTTAGTCCTTTTTTTTTTATTCGCATATTTCATATCTTTAGTTGAAGCTGTAAAGCAGTTTTCTTCCCTAGCTGGGAGGGGTATGGTGAGGAGGAAGGTATTATATAAAAGGAGCTTCTGACTATTTCAGAGGACAGACTTCTTAGGAATGGTAAGAATGCATGATGAACATAATTGCTCATAGTTCTTATTCTTTTCAACATCCCAGGGATTTTTCCTTGTTTACAGAAAATGCCTTCTAGGTTGAGGGAAGAACATCAGGAGAGTCCCTCAGGGAGTCACAGTGGTTAATATCAGATCATTCTCCACCCATAGACCTACCTCAAAAGGTGAAACCAAGTGAAAGATGAGTTTGGGGAAGATTTTCTTCAGATAACTGTGTCAGAGTATATGATACTCTGTAATTTCTTGACCTCTAGTGCTTGATCTTATTCTAGTGTTCTCAGACTTGCTTGTTTATTTGAAACTTTGCATTTCAGAGTCTGCTAAAGCTGAAGTAATGGACCAGCTGTAAAATATCCTTGCTAATGCTAAAAAATCACAGAGACTTTGTGTTTCAATTATACCTTTTCCACAGCAGTCTTAACTTTAGAACAAATCTTTCCTATTGCAAAATCAGTTGTCAAATTGAATCCCAAACCAACAAAAGCAATAGCCTTCAGCAGAATATAGTTTCTAAATAGCATGAGATTTTAATTTGCCAGTGAATTTTTCCCCTTCTTCTTCTTCTTTTTAATGCATACAGACAAGCACTGATTTGGTACAACCGGTAAGTAAATATCCAGAAAATTCTGGAATTTAAAATATTTAACATTGTTTATATACGAGGTGAATTTTAGAATGAACTTTTTTCCCCATGGCATTTCTAGTCATAGATTTAACCTTAAGTCAACTAATTTAAACACGTTCTAGTTGTTTAACTAGTGTCACCCTAATGAAGAGCTTTGTGTTTCTCATCAAATCTTACCATGGTCTATTTCATCTTATGTTTTCTTTTTCTTTGCTTTTCTGCATATTTTAAAGACTGACTCTTCAAAAAGTCTTTCCCTGTGTAACCTGATCATGGAGGAAACTCCAGACAGTGGGTTGGCTGAAGAAATTCAAAGATGTCAAAATGACATAGTTGCATTTACTTGGGGCCCTGATGCTAGTACAGACAGTGTCAGCCAGGAAATTACCCCAAGTATGACTCAAGAAGACTTTGCATGTCTCTCTGAAGCAAAGAAAGACATGAGATTATCCACCATAATATTTTCTTCTGCTGACTGGTCCACTGTAGCCGAACAGGGTGAGCATGTCCTGGGGCCAGCCCCTCCAGGTGGAAATGACTCGCTGTCCCCAAACCCCGGGAACAGGGCTGGAGTTACCATTGCTGCTACTATGGAGATGGAACAGCCATGTGAATTACTTGATGCAGAGATGCCAGCCATGGAAATAGCTGGCCTGCTCAAAGAAGGTCATGAAGATGTTAAAAAGTCAGATGAAGAAAAAGAGAAACAGAAGATAGAAGATTCTGTTTGGGCAGGTGTGGAGACATGTCAGCAGGTAGACACTGGAACTGTTGATAATAAAGCAGTAAATGATACAGAGGAATTTGAAGAGAAAGAACAGGAAAGTACAGGAAACAAAGCAGTAAATTATCCCCAAACAATAGCAGAGCAGAATCAGGAGGCCTTCAAAATTAGTGAAATGGAAACTATGAAAGATCTAAGAGTGAGTTGTAAGGAAAGTGTAAAAACCTATGAAAATTATTTTGAGAAAACTGACCTATTAGAAAATGACATGAAAGAAGTAGATATGGAAGATGAATTTGGTAACAGAGACCAAGGGCCACATGATAGGTTTCAAGTAATAATCAATAATTGTGAAAATACAGAAGGTTCTGAAGCTAAACCTGCCAATTATGCAGACAATTTGACTCTACCTCTTCTCCGGACCAACTCTGTATCTAATATTGAAGATGCTGGTCCAGAGGGATGGGATTTAACTAGAAAAGACATACAGAATAATTTAATAAACCCTTCCAACCATGCGATGATATATTACCCAGCACAGGACAGGGCAGATGTTAAAGAAATTCAGTGTGAGAATATGTTAAATATTCCTGGGTATGACAGGGATAGCAATCAGGATGTTGTTTTATCAACAAAAATGTCAGTTCAGTCTGGGATGAGCCTTAATTATTCCCTGGAAACTGATGCAAACAAAAGAGATCAGTATTCATCTGAGGGAAAAGATTCATTAATAGAAGGGTCGGAAAGCACAACAACTGAGAGATATAGTTGTTCCATTAACTTGCCAAGAATAGCAAACACAGATCCAGGTCAAATCTGTCAGCCAACCTTAAATTCATCAGTAAATAATATGGATGTACCAGAATTCCCTGGGATACCAGATAGCCAAGCAAGTGGATTTACCAATTGTCTGGATTCTAATAACCACCAGCCTATAAGAGATATGAGAGCCATAGATAATTGCTGGGAACATGTAAATGTGGTTGAGAGTAAAACAGATGTAAGTGGGGAACAAGCCATTGCTAGCTGCCCAGAACAGAGTCAGGAGATAGCTAGACCTTTGGTTCTGGGAACCTCCTGGAACACTAGCACTGAGAGTTCTGATGGTTCCCAAGACAATGACATCAACAACTCAGATTTATCTGAAGATGAAATTGCTAACCAGAGATATGGATTGTTGTACCAAGAAATAGAGGCTGATAAAGACGAGGTACTTACCCCAGTATGTAGCATAGACTAGCCAAAGACTTCCGTAGGATCCGTTTTTCCTAATGTCTCTTACCTACTTCATTATCCATCACTATCTGCTTGGAGGTCTAATTGATCTCCTGGACAGATTGTCATGTACCTCTTCAAATCTGTGCAAACCAATCACAAATAGGTTGACCAAAAAAAAAAAAAAAAAATTCTCCCAAAGCAGAATAACTACTATTGAGAATTAATAAGAATCTTCTCTTACCATTCCATTCTCTGAGTCCATTATTTCTACTTTCATTTTTACTTAGTAGTAAAAATGTGCTAAGTCACAAGCAGTACAAATTTGCTTACTATTTCTGAAGTGGTTCTACTCTAATAAGAACACAGGAAATGTTTCTACCCAGGCCCATTGAAACTGTCCCATAATTGCTGTTCATTAAAATGATGGATTATAGAAATGATTGAAAAGCTCCTTCTGGATTTTAGGTACGTCCTAGAAAGAGAGCTATTTAACCCCTCATGGTCCTTCTCTGTAATCATCTTCTCATTATTATTAAGAAAGTCGGTTTTCCTTAGCACTGAGCCACATACCAACAATAATCGTAAAATTAATCTTTCATTTTTTGTCAGCCTATTTAAAATAATACAGCATGGTCTTTTACATTTCCTCAGCACTTTCATGCACAGCAACCTTTTGTATTATTTTAAAATGTGTGGTAGTTATTATTCTCTGACTTGTCTAATGGTTATTTATTAATTTTATCAAAGTGATGGGAAAAAAATAACACACTCTGATTTCCATTTCTGTCTAGGCTTCCGGTGGTTCATTTAATGGATTTACCCAGGTAAGGAATCTGTTTTCTAACAAGATCTATCTGTTGAGAATGCTGCCAAATTTTTCAATGTGACTCTATGCCACTGGTTGAATATAATGAAGAGCATCAGAACAAAATTTGACCCCACTATTTACAGATGGAGTAATGGAGACATAATAATTAGCAACACTGTAGGAGTATTATGATGAGATATGAATATAGGGCACTAGCCCAGCATACGCTAAGTTCTCTATGACTTCAGCTAGCTAATACTTGTGTTTTTAGTTATAGTGTGAACTTTTACTTTTTGCTGATTAATCTATTAGTAATTAGAATTTGTCTTGATCTGAGAGATCCCCTGAATTTAGCTGCTGGAAAAGAGTAAAGGGGATCGTTTTGAACTAAGGAGATGGGTCTTTAGAAAATATCAGAGGCTTTTAGGAGCCTCCTTCTAAGGTTTCATAGAGGAGCCACACAAAATTCATACATAGAGCCTTACTTCTTCACGCTTCTTCAGCAAAATGCCATTGAAAGATCAGAAACCACGTATTGACTTTGTCCAACAAGCCAGCATTTTCCTTGGGAGTCTGAGAAGAAGGAGCCACAAGATGGACTGTCCCATCCTCTTTATAGGTCCCAGTGGGTAGCCAGGTGTAATCCATGTAAAAGGCAGGCCTTGTGGCTACCAAGCTCCTGGTTTTGATTCTGATAACCTTTTGAAGTTTGACCTCAAATAGGCTTGTCTGTTATGAATGCTTCATGTCAAAATGTAAGACATGCACAGTTTCTGATAATTTTAGCATTTAGAATTATATAAACAGATATTCATAATATATTCATAAATTTAATTCTCTTTTTAAATTTTTCATTATTGTTCCCCATGTTACCTATAAAAACTTGAGACCCACTCCTGTACCCAAATAGAGAGACACATAATCACAAAGACAGGTGACACAATGCATCTCTTCCATCTTCAAAAACCTTGTTTGGAAGGTTGCACCTCAGGGATCATCATTCTTTCCTTATTGTTTCAAGTTTATATTTCTAATATTTATTAATGCATATAATTTTAATAATAATGAAGTTTACACAGTTTTCCATTTTAAAACTTTAGACTATCATACATCTCCTCCATTTCTTGTTTTATAGAAGTGTGTATATTTTCTTCTCTTTTTTAACACATTCTATAGCTTTACCCTGTATCAGTGCATGTGATGTTCTTAATGCTACATCTTTATTTCTAAAACATTATCTATTGACTCAATCTCTAGAAGGTGAGAAATTACAGTGTGTTCTACTCCTACCCGCAAGTTCTCTTCTGCATCTTACTCTTCCTCTGATGGAGTTCCTTCATAGTCATCCAGTCATTTTGTGGCAATATTTTAGTGACATAAGTGCTAACAGCCAAGTCATGAAGTTTACATTTCCATTTCATGTCAATTTTTTTTTTTTTTTGTTTTGGTTTAGAGGATATTTGTGAATCTTGTGTGTTTGCCTGTTGATTGGTTTGCTTAGGTTTCTAGGTGCCAGGGGAACCCCCTACTCTAGAATTAAATAAACCTTTTCTCATTTTGTTGAAATATTGGATATGAAAGCAGTTTCATCTTGAAGAAATTGCTCTCCTTCTGGGCTCACTGTAGTTGGAGCTGTGTACTCTGAGCCTACGACCTGCTGTTCTCCCGTAATGTTTATCCCACGATTGCCTTCATCCCTCTGGGCTGTCAATCTCCTGCTTTCTGGATGAAAATCACCCTTATTTGTGGTTTAATCCCTCAATTGGATTCAGCACATCCTCCAGTAACTTCTTGAGGGAAATGTCTGTAGGAGGTATAATCATGACTCTACACATCTGAAAATGTCTTCATATACCTAAAGAACTGTTTTAATATTATGCGAAAAGTTGTAAATGAATTTTCCTTTAGAATTTTAAAGCCATTCCTCTACTCAGTTCTAACTCTTAAATGTTGCCTGTGAAAACCATATTATGATTCTTGAAACTTAAGAAACCTTCTCTCTCTTTCCTTCCCCACATTCCTCTCTGCTCATCTTCCTTCTCTCTCTCTCTCTCTCTCTCTGTCTCTGTCTCTCTCTCTCTCTCTTTCTCTGGAGCAGTAGAATCTTCTTTTAAGCTCAGGGTTTCTTAAATTTTTCAAGGATGGGTTATGATCTGAGTCTCTTTTCATTCATTGTTCTAGATCCTTTTATTCCAAAATTTATATCTTTTGGTTTAGGGGAATTCTGAAGTTAATTTTTTTTCACTAACGATTTCTCTTTTGGTTTTCTTTTTCTCTCATTCTGCAATGCTTCTCTTTTTCATATGATATCTTCCTGAAATAGTCCAATTAACCTTTTCTTCTCATTTCCTTTTCTCCACTTTCTCTGCTTTCTACCTCTTCCAACAGATCTTTCATCCTGTACGTTTGTCATTTTCCAAGGGCTCTACTTATTCTTGGATATTTGTTCTTTAATAGCATCCTCTTCTTGTATTATGAATGCCACATCTTCCATTTTATTTCTGAGGATATTAGTAACCATTTTTGTAGCTATATTTTTTCATACAAATTCTTTGTTTCTTCCACTTGCATTTTTTAAAATTTAGTTTTTCCTTTTCATTTTTGAGGCTTTTCTCAAATCTCTGGAATCTTGACTGAATAATCGTATTTAAAGTGGGATGATAAGAAACTAAGTAGAAACTTGTATAAGTTGGTAGGCCTCATTGACTGTGGGCATTGTTGTAGGACTTTCCAGCTCATATTTTCTGTTGAGAGCTCCTAATGTCAGATTTTTTAGGATTTTTCTTTTAAGCTGGTCAGACTCCTTAGGGAAGATTCCTATGGTCTCCTGTTTTGAGGAGTATAAGCCTGGCTGTACTGTAACAGAAGACACATGTTCTCCATACTTATTATATAAATGCTCACTTATTCTTTCTACTTTCCTAATATACCCTTGTGTCTCCCAGCCCAGAACCCCACTGTTTCAGTCTCAGCAGAAAGTCTTCTGCTGGATAGGAAGGCTCATGCTGTGTTTTCAGAATAGGTGAGAGTATTTTGAGACTTACTCACTTAATTGTTTTTTTTTTAGTTGTAGATGAACACAGTAATTTTACTTCATTTATTTATTTTTGTGTGGTGCTGAGGATCAAACCCAATGCCTCATATATGCTAGGAAGCACTCTACTACTGAGCTACAGCCCCCAGTCTTTGGTCACTTTTTGATAGACTTTGAACCAGTTCCCCTGTCTTGAGCAGCCCCCCTGCCTCCCATTTCCCTTGGTTACCTACACATTGAATCCTTGATTCTTTGGGAGCAATGAATTGGGTTGATTTGTGACATTTCTGTCATCATCTTTCAACACAAATCATTTGGATCCACCAAGTTACTTAGTGCTTATTCAATGGCTTTCCGAATTAAAATTTTGTTAATTATCTTTCTTCCCATTCGTCTCATCCTGTGGTATTATGCCTTTAAAAAATATCCCTTTATAGTAGTTTAGTTTAGATTCTGTAGGTAACAAAATTATATTACACACATTCAAATGACCGTCTTTAACCAAAGTCTTTGATTCCTCTTTTCTGTGGGGAGCCCCTGATGTCAGATTCTTCAGGCATATTTTTTCCCTTGAGATGGTGAGATTATCTGGGAAAGACTCTTTGGTCTCCCATCCAGAAGGTACAGAGCTTGGCTACCAGTACAATGGGAGATGAGCCTTGTGTCAGAGACCATTATTCCTTATGATGTCTTCTAGATTGAGGTTTCAGATCAATGAGAATCCTTTTAAAAGGTTTTATTTTTTTTTTAATTTTTTATTGTTGGCTGTTAAAAGGTTTTAAATAACACATAAATAACCCTTTCTGTTAAGTGATATAGTGAGAGTGCATTGCCATTATTTTAAAAAGTTTGAAGGTTAATTTCAGGTGTAAAACTACTAATTTCTAATTTGGTGTCACTATCCAGAAGAGAATCTATGCAAGAAAGATGTCCCCAAAGCCAGTGCCCTTTGCTTTTATGACTCTCACAATGTACTGTTAACCAAGATTTATATTTAGAATAACTATGGTTAATGTTTCATTTTCATTTTTGTTTCAGTGATTTTAAAAAGGGACCTTTAAAACTTAGAAATGTATTTATCAACAAACTGACAATAGCTAACTTAAATATCTTTTAAAGAAGTGTTTTCTCCTCATTTTCAGCCCCAGGATACTTCATTATTTACAATACAGACAGATCAGAGTATGATTGGCAGCTTGGTAAGTTGATGTGGGTCTGTATCTTTGGGAAGTTGTCAGATACCACCAGATGTGGTAATGCTAATATAAATTGATCATTCTGGTTTGTCTAGAGTTTGAATATCTAGAATGTGATTTCTGCAGCTGCCTCTTTTGTAGAAATCAGGAGGGAACACATCTATAAAATTTTACTGTGATTTTGAGTTTGTTTACTCCTATTTATAAAAGGCACAGTGTTCCCAGCAAAAACCAAAGTATTTTAGGTATAGGCCTCAGTGGAGAACAGTGGATCTATCAAGGATGTGAATATTTCCATGTAATTGGAACTTAAGCTACAGGATTGAACATGAATTTGCTTTAAGAATTTATGCTTCAAAATTCTTATTATTATTATTTTTTATTTTGGAAATAAGAGCACCCTGCTTCTCATCTCATCCCTTCATCTTGTGAGTTATAGAAAGAAGGAATGTAGAGTGTGGAGTTGTGGTTCCTAATTCAATGAAAAATAAGAGTAGAGAAATCTTAGGGAATGAGCAGGAGGCAGAAAGAGTTAGACTTGGCATTAAAGGAGATTCTTCTCTAAGATTGGTGTTGCAGTTACCATAGGAAGCCCTTTCAGCAGTATCTTACCAGAAAGCTGAATGAAGAGACCTTGAGACATGTGATTTGTGAGCTTGACACTGCTGCATTACAGAAGACTTTGTCTCTGTGAGGGTTAGTTCATGAGAGTTATTTGCAACACTATGATTTTCCCATGTACATAATGTATGATTATCCCAGCTTCCACCTTTCTCTCTGGAAACTTGGAATTAAGTTTAAGTAGAATGAATTTTTCATTTTAGACTATTTCAATTTTAAGATGGGAATTCTGTTCTAGGACATTTGTCTTAAAGGTTAATTTGATAGTTTTGCAAGACAAGTGTGTCTCTACTACCTTGCCTGTAGATTGTTATACTTTTTTTTCCCCTGCCACTACCAAGTTAAATCTCTATGGCCTGCAAATAAATATTTGAATGCTTCCAAAAGAAATTATATGGTGTCAGTTTTGGAGCCAGAGAGACTCATTCTTCATGTTCATTGATGAATCTCAGCCTGGGTAATAGATCTGAAGGATGAGATTTTTAATTATCAATTGTGAATTGTTTAAGAAAAATTGAGAAATCCTAGCATAAAAACCATTATTTGGTTATAATTATTTGGTTATAATTAAAGTAACAATATTACTTTGATGAAGAAGATTCAGGCCCAGAATCCTATGGCTTTTAAATTTCTTTGAACATTTCCCTTTGTCCTTAGTTAGTTGTAGGAGCTTTCATGCCTGCCCTTCTCCATATATCTTCTCTGAAACAGACACCATGCCTCTTCTTTCTCTTGGGAACTTAGCTTCTCGTTCCCAGCAATAGAGGTGCTGCTAACATTCCTTATGTTGTGAGGAACTATGAAATCACAGTAATCCTATGTTTCTCAGTATATTGTGATTATACAGGATCTTTTTTAGGGGCAGGAAAACTCCCTAAAAATAATGTTTCATTGACTGTTCTGAGAAGGTAGGCTTGAAATCTAGTACTCAGCTATACATCTCCCAGCCTGCATCTCATGGCCCCACAGATCATCCCTAAAGTACAAGATGAAACCCTTTTGAACCCCAAAACCTTGCTCAGGGCTCAGAGTTTCCCCCAAGGACCTTTGCAATTCTCTCTAAAATAGCTCTCCCAAGATCTGAGAAGGCAGGGACCATACTGAATTGTGAATAGACTCTTAATTCATTCTTCCATACCATCTTCTCTGCCTCTGCATTGACCTGGCTTCATCATATCACAGAGGACTCCAGAACATGCACAACAAGGCCACGCTGTCAATTTTATTCTAAGGGAAGCATTCCATTTTTGAACCCCGAACAAAACCATTGTAGCATTCTGCGGCCACCAATACATTTAAATGGTCTCTCTCTTCTCTGAATGTATAGTGACTGCTACTTCAGATAATAGGAAATCATTACCAGCACTCCCAAATAGTTTAACATGATATTAAGTCATTAGCAGCATCTGTCAAGGGAGATATCCTGTAGGAAAAAAAAAAAAAGAGGAGGGTGGGGTTGAGGCAGGGCACAATTCCTGTAGAACTATTTAGATCTTTCCACAAGATCTTGCTTACAATTTATATTTGTTTTTCTCTCTATTCTGAAAGAATATCTACAGATTTTATGCTACCTTAAAAGAAATAGAAGACACTTCTATTTCTAAATTAGAATAGCAGATTTTATGTGCAATCATGCTTCATTCTTACCTATCATTCAGTGAGCTACATTTATCTCCTTTTAATTTAAGTTGCAATGTCATAATATTTGGTATGATATGATAATATGGTAAAATGTGTTGTGGCTTAAGAGGACATAACCAGACCTATATCCTCTGTACAGCCATTACATTGTTCAATTTCAGCAAGCAAATGCAATTAGACTTATTTATAAAGTCACCTTAGTTATTCTTGCTACAGCATACAATTTCAGAATTTTCTCAGACTTCTAGAAACCCAGACTCTGATGCAAACAACTGTTTTGCATTTTAAATTATCCTTGCATTTCTTTAAATATAGAATGATAAATGTATTTGACTCATACTTTGAAACTTCTCTTGGCTCCAAATCTGCCTTCAGACTTCCTCCACAGCATAGACTCACCTGCCAGGGAATAGCACCTGCCCAGGGAATTCTATGTGCTTTGTCAAATAGCCCTTTATGTCCTCCATTGTGTAGGTCATTTGATACCATCCTCTGGAGAAAATTACCTTGACTTCCCAGGTGGAAATATCATATCCTGAGCTTTTATAGCATCTGCTATGAAAACTTGTTCCATTATGAAGATAATTATTTTTGAACAATAAAAGTGAAGTCTTTTCCAATAAAGAACACCTGAGATCATATTAGAGTAAATTCGATCTCACTGTTTCTTAAAAATTGTGTCAGACCATCTCTTAAAGGTTATAAAAGCCTATAAAAATATCAAATCTCTGCATACTTGTCTACCAATGTGTCTTTTAATTTTACTGTCCTTTGAAAAGATCAGTGGTGTGGTCAAGGCATGCATCACAATAAATGGTTTGGTGGAGGGCATAAAAATGTAATTTATATATTTATCCAACACTAGGCAATTCATTATTTATTTTATATAACCTCAGCATAAGTTTTCTTGTAACTTCTCCATGAAACTTGTCATGTGCACTGACTTAGGTAAACATACAAGAGAAACAGATGTAGCTTTTGGTTACTTAAGGTGAGAATCTCTTAGAACTTAACTGATTTCTCCAAAGTATTAATTGGAGTCTTATTACTATTCTTGGAACATAATTTTAAATTTTTTTTGCAGTTTAAATGGAAAAGTTCTGATGGAAAAAGATCTTAATGACCCCTCTAGTGTTCATTTATTTAGTGAAATGGTCATGCTGGATAAATATGTTTATTACATTAATGACAAAGAGAGAATATTGGCAGTATCTGTGGTGATATACATTAGCTATGGCATTTTAATGGTCTGTTGTTATTTTATAGTGTTAATTTTAAAACAAAAAGTCTTGAGCTAAGAGATGCCAGAGATCTGATTCAGTATATAATTAGAATTAAGATGATATGTATGTATAGAAGTCCCATGGGGAATGAAAAGACCTCACCTTGCCCACACAATTAAAAGGATCTAATTGATACCATCTAATTGATACTGCTCTGTGGTTCTTTGAAGAATTAGTTTATTGTATGAATTAAATGGATTGCGAAGGATTTTGTCGGAGAGAGAAGGGAAAGAGGGATTATTTTAGAAATTTACAACAGACAAACAAAATATTTATAGTTGTGCTTCAAGCAGCCATGTGGCTAGGCCTGCTGTCCCCTAGCTTTGGAGATGGCATCCTAACTTCATAGTGACCTATAGAATCAAATGAATACATTTTAATCTAAATATGGGGATGGCCCCTCACTTTTTTTGTACAATACATATTAACAGCATTAAAAGATCCCAGAATTGTGTTCCCTGAAATTTCTTCCTCACTCCTCTCAACAAGCAAATATGGGCCCTCCTAGGGTTTCTCTGTCTCTCCTCTAAATAGCAGAAAGTATCATTTTAAGAACTTTTTATAGCTGTCAAAAAGAAATGAGTAGCCAAAATTGTGGTGTTTGCCTGACTTCAATGAAATGCATGTAGTTCTTGGTGATGAAAACAGAGAAGCTTAACAAGATTCATTTCTGTAATGGTCCATTATGCCAAATGGGAGGGAATTTTATCTGTTTCCAGCACGGATTTAATGAAGTTAGTAGCTACCTATACGATGACAAAAAAAAAAAAAAAAAAAAAAAACAACTTTATTATCTAATATTCTATAATGTAACCTATTGACATGTTGAATCTTTTTCCTCTAACCCCAAAACAAACAATCCAAGGCTGAATCTGAACAGGTTCCACCCTCAGAGCCAAAAGCAGAGGAACCTCCTGCTGCTGCTGCACCTGTTGTCGGGCTGGACCTTGGACTGGAAACTAGGGCTGAGGAGCCAGTGGAGGAGGCAGTGGTGAGAGCAGCCTTCCTTCCCCATCCATTTACCTTGCTGCCATCATCTTGCTCATCTCCTGACCCTGTGTATCACTTCCCATCCATGCCTCACTTTGTCCAAACAAATTTCGTATCTGTCATGGTTCCCCCAGTTCAAGTAGCCTTTGTTACTTTGACAATGAAACTACATGCCTTTTCATTTTATTAAAAACAGGAAGATACCCAGAGAGCTGATGTTATGATCTAGAGAAAACTGCAGTGTTGCCACAGGCATGACTCTTTAAGAAGGGCACCTTGATTCTTTCCGATACTCTCCCTTTTGTGATATTACTTGCAGGGAATCAGACTTGTCAGTTCAGTGCTCCACCTATGATGGCTGGAGACCCATCCTTAACTAGGGACCAACTTATATGTGATAAAAATAAGAGTAAGAACTTTACAGATTGTGTGATCACACTAATTGCATATAATGTTAGTTTTGTATGTTGGTAAAGGCACAGTGAGGGACTGAAATTTCGTATTCCAAACCCATGAATCTATTAGGATTTCTATGTATACAGCTAGGAATAGTGGAAATCAACTCTGTTCTGTCTCTGAGGATAATGGGGACCTTGAGGATGTATGGCGATCCATCTGTCTGTCTAGACACCTGCTTTTACCCTGATTCATGCTGCTATAAAAAAAATTCTCATTGCAAACTGGGATGAGATCTAATATGCACCAAGTTCATGAAATATAAAGTTGAAAATGCCAGTGTTGAGTGAAAGGTATATATTTATGAAATGCAGTAAAATGTCTCTCAATAATGTCAATTAAGGTGCTATTTATTACAGCCTTCACAGAATATACAGAAATAAGAAAAACAATTTCCCTATTACTGAAAGTAGGATTTCCTAGGTTAGATGCCTAGAAAGAGGAAAGCTATACTTCATGTTACTGCATGAGGTCACTTCACTGAGTAGTTCATTTATCAAATCAACAGTTTATAAGTAGAGAAATAAATAATAGGGATAGATAGTGATTGGACATAGTAATTAATAATGACTCAATTATCATATTTTCTATTTAAAGACATAGAGTTAGATCTAGTCTTGTAGGGAAAACAAGAAATGTGTTCATCTGGGGGTAAATCGCTCCACATATTTGTCTTTTTAATTACTGCTATAATTAAGGAGATAGTTGATTTTAAAATGAATATGCCCAATGACAGGGAGTTATAAATACACTGTTTTAGTCAGCTTTTTGATTGTAGTAGCAATGAGACCTGACAAGAACAATTAGAGGAGAAAAAGCTGATTTGGGCTCCGTTTCAGAGGTCTCAGTTAATAGATGACCAACTCCATAGCTCTGGGGCCAAGATGAGGCAGAACATCATGGCTGAAAGGTAGGGTGGAGAGAAGCAGATCAGGAAATGACAACAAGGAAGGAGAATGAGAGCTCTGATCACCAGGGACAAAATATTAACCCCAAAGACATGTCCCCATGTCCTATCTACTCTAGCCACATCCTACCTGCCTACAGTCACCACCCAGTTAATCCATTGCCATGGACTAATCTACTGATTCAGTTACAACTCTCATCATTTATCACCTCTGAAACTTCTTGTGTTGTCTTATACGTGAACTTCTGAGAGATACCATATATCCAAACAATAACAGATACTGGTTAGGATTTGAAGGAAATTGATTCCGAAAGTTCTCATCAAATTTCTCTTTTGAATGGCAGCACAGTCTTCATCTTCACCAGTGCTTTTGAACTACACTGACACTAGTGCCCCAGGCTATTCAGTGTTAGGCCTAATGCATAATGCCCATGTCTTTGAGCTGGGACAGCATTTGATGTGCAGTAGGTGGGAGATGTGAGTAGACAGCTAACCTACAGACACCTACATGGATTCTCTCTGATCCCTTCTCAGACTGCCATGATCACCTACCAACTCATACTTATCCCCATTCTAAAGTTCTAGAAGTAACTTTTTAATAAAATCCAAGTTCATTGGTTTTCTAATTAATAATATTCACAACTACCCATTATCAAATACCTACTAAGTAGTACCTAATATATTACGGATTAAGTATCCCTTATCTGAAATGCTGAGACCTGAAATATTTTTAATTTCAGATTTTTTTTTAAATTTTAGAATACTTGTATATACATACTGAAATATATTACAGATGGTACCCTAGTCTAAACAAGAAATTCAGTTATGTTTCATAATTTTTTATACATATAAACTGAATGTAATTTTATGTGATATATTTTAGTGTTCCTCACATGAGGCCAAGTGTGGAATTTTTTATTTCCGGCACTATTTTGTCAGATCCCAAAATGTTTTGAATTTTGGAGCATTTCAGATTTTGGATTTTCTAACTGGGGTCGCTGAACCTGCACATGACTTATAATCTTTTTAACTGAGGGTGATTTAAAAAATATTTAGCCAACTATTGTACAAGCATCAACCATTACTAAATCCCTAATGCTGGATAAGAAGCTATTTGGGTGAATTTTTATTCTAAAAATACTTTTCCACCTTATAGGTAAACTTTAGACGATCAAAAATGGCAATTCTTTGTGAAATATAAGGCAATTAGAGTGTCTTTGGAAGGATTCAGGCATGTCCTGAGACCCAGAGATGATATAAGAATAATAGATGCAGAGCTCATAGTGTGAACCACTCTTTCCAAAAAGAAAAATAAACATCAAGTTCATTTCTCTATATGGGCTGAGAAATAGTAGTAATAGTGTTAAATAATATACTCACCAAAATATACTCACCTAAAATGCCTGCTTTTCATGTTTCCTAAATAGACTTGGATGAAGCACTTCTTCCCTTCTACATAGAAGAATTATACCACATAGAATATAGTTTTGATTTTGAGAGTAGATATATATCTTCTTTCTTCTGGTCATTTTATTTGAGTTCTTTTTTATATATATAAAAGAAAGACTTCTTTTTTTGTTAGATGTATGGTATTTAGTTATAAAAACAAAAACCCACACCTTGTCCCTAGCATTAATTAATAGGCGGCTATGGTTGTCATCCGTCAGGACTGGGTTGATGTGACCTTTGGAGGTAATCCTTTTTACTGCTGAAATGTCACCACACAGTTATTAGTTCAGCTTTTGACAGAATGCATTTCATCTGAGGTGAGGTGAAGTTTGTGGTGGCTTTGTTAAAAGAGAGAGAGAGAGAGAGAGAGAGAGAGAGAGAGAGAGAGAGAGAGAAAAGAAAAAAAGAATCAAGTCTAAGATCAAGTGTAATTATAGAACAGGAAATTTTAGTAGTGGTTCCCAAAGAAACCTGAGGTTTTTAAGAAACATTTAATTACTATATTTCTGTTTTGTTTTGTTGTTTTATTTCCCACATATTGTCTTTGTTTTTTTCTTAGAAAATCAAATTTTACCAGTATGTCTACAGGATACATTTTAAAATCAACACTCTTACTTTACTTTTTCTAGACGTTTCTGTTATGTGAGTAATGAAAACAAACTTCAGAAAACAATGGATTTCAGTGTTTATTTTATTATATTTATTTCATCAGAGAATTAAGTTAAAAATGCAGATAAATATATGTATAGAATCAATTCATAATATATAATTTAGTCATAGTTGACCATTTACCATGTGTGCAATTTCTTTTATTTTTTTAATCTATTTTTTTTTTGAGAGAGAGAGAGAGAGAGAGAATTTCAATGTTTATTTTTCAGTTTTTGGCGTACACAACATCTTTGTTTGTATGTGGTGCTGAGGATCGAACCCGGGCCGCACGCATGCCAGGAGAGCGCGCTACCGCTTGAGCCACATCCCCAGCCCCTGTGCAATTTCTTTTAAAGGAATAAAATTTTAATTGCATTTTCTTTAAGGGAGGCCCCTTCTATTTTTCTCTAAATTCCTGTCAGCTGATGTGAAGTAGACCCTGTTTTTTGCCTATTATTTTAAAAGAAATAATGTGCTGTAATTAAATTTAAGGTTAGTACAACTTAACATGTAAAAGAAGAAAAACTGAAGTAAAGATGTTTTTAGAATAGTTGGAGAATCATGGGGATGATGAAACGTTATTGACCCAATTATTTGAGTACCTACTTTTGGTTTTGCTGTGGTTTGTTTTTTAAAAATTTTAACAAACATATGTTGACTCATCAAGACAAATTACTCCAATAAGAATATTCTAGAGTTGCCAGAGTATATCCTCTGAACTCCCTTGATAGGAATATTTCTGTCTGCTTGAATAGAATGCCTGTGTTCATTTCTCTTTCTCTCAGTTGAGAGAGATATTTGAATCTTCCTAGTTATAGGCACAGTTCTAGCCCTGGGGAACACAGTGATGCAGGAAACAGACATGGCTCCTGCATCCTGCTTTCCAAACTTGGGGTGGAGATTGACATTACACAGAGCTCAGGGACTCCTTCTGCAGCAGTCATATAAATGGGGAACAGTATTTCAGTTTTCTCCATGTGCAGAGTAAGCATGAGAGCTGGGGTTTCCACTGTACCTCAAGATGTGATCTCCCAATGTCAGAGAAGATACCAAAGACTAGATGAAGCCAGGGAACTTGATTTACTGTCTGTCCTTTGTTGACACAGAATCACTCAACTCTAAACTCTAAGTGCTCAAATTGAAGTATGCATGCTTTAAATTAAAATTTTATGATAAAAAATACACATGTATGTGTATGTGTGTCTTTTATTTTTTAAAAAGAGCCTTGGGAGATAGACATAGCTTTTTACCTTTCTCAGAAAAAAAATTGTAGAAATGGTTAGTTTCTGAGTTTGATTATATTTCCATTAGCATCTAATTATATTTTCAGCATTCCTCAGGCCAAACAGGAGATTCTATTTTTGTCTTCTTCCACAGTGCCCAGCACAGAACAGGGTGTGTGACACATGCCAAGCAAATTCTCAATTGTTGTTTTGCTGTTTGGTTAACACTGTTGTTTAGGAGTCTTGAAAAGTTCTATAGTTTAGTCTCTTTAAATGAAAATATGTTCATTTTCTCTTTCTTTCCCTCTTTCCTTCCTCCCTCCCTCCCTCCTTCTTTCTCTCTCTTCCTCCCTCCCTCCCCCTCTTTCTCTTCCTCCCCCCACTCTCTCTTTCTTCCCTCCTTCCTCCCTCCCTCCCTCCCTCCCTCCCTCCCTTCCTTCCTTCCTTCCTTCTTTCCTTCCTTCCTTCCTTCCCCATTCAGATACTTTGGTTTTTTTCTATTTAGGAAAAAAAAGGCACTTGTCATCAAAAGCAGTGCTAATTTTCTTTTTCTGCTTCAGAGTATCATTGTGGCATCTAAACCTCATTGTCTCAGATGTAAAAATGGAGTTAGTAATGATTGTTATTTGCAATTAAGCTACAAAACTTAAAATTTTTCCTATGAGGGCTTAGAAATAATATGTCTCATTAGTTTGAGCATCTGGCACATCAAGTACCTCCATCAATTACATTTTGATGATATTA